ATACAACCAACCTCATCCCAGTCTCTTGGCTTTAACAATACACCTGTGAATGCATACATCAGAATTGGTATTTTCATTTTGACAGTCACAACTTAAAAGTACGTTCTCTAAGCTAGAAAGTCAGTCAAAACATTTTAATTATATATGTAAACTTTGATATTTTAGATTATTTCTTAGTAAATACTGAATTAAAACAATTCTGGCCAGTGGTATATGGTACCTAAATGAATTAGGAAATACAATTTAAAGAGAAAAAATATCCCCAGAAAAAGTACAGATTTGTTGGTAGATTCACAAAAGAATGCAAAATCTAAAATGTAGTTTAATAAGAACCTCATGGTATAGCCAGGCTCTGGTGCCTTGTGTATGTACTCTTAGCTACTCACAAAGCAGAGATCTAAGGATTCAAAGCTACCCAAAGAAGAAAAATCGCCAGGTGCCGGTGGGTCACGCCTGTAATACTAGCTTTCAGGAGGCTGAGATCTGAGGACTGAGGTTCAAAGCCAGCCCAGGCAGGAAAGTCCGTGAGACTTTTATCTCCAATAAACTACTAGAAAACGGGAAGTGGCGCTGTGACTCAAGGGGTAGAGTGCTCGCCTTGAGCTGAAGAGCTGAGGGACAGGGCCCAAGCCCAGAGTTCAAGCCCCATGACGGAAGGAAGGGAGGGAGGCAGGGAGGGAGGAAGGTAGGGAGGGAGGGAGGGAGGAAGGATCTGTAAGATTCTTATCTCCAATTAACTAGCAAAAAGCCAGAGGTAGAGCTGTGGCTCAAGTGGTAGAGCACTAGTCTGAGCAGAAAAGGGCAAGCAAGAGCACAAAACCCTAAGTTCAAGCCCCAGTAAGAACACAGACAGACAGATAGACAGATACACACACACACACACACACACACACACACAATTGTATAGCTTAAATACACAATTATATTCTGAAAAAAATCAGACCTAGTTTGCCTTCTCCCCAGTTTTGTATGTGATGTAACAATTAATTGTACCAAGAGAAGAGTATGTGACTTTCAGCTGCTGAATAATCAATCACTCCAAAAAAAAAGTATCAACCATATTAACCTAATTCATCTTCATAGCACTCAATCCAACTATGACAAAGTATGAATTATTTTCAAGTACACAAGGAACCACCATCAAAGAGCCTAGTGCTGAAAACCTGTATCTTAATATCATGACTCAAAAAGCTAATTCTGCTAAGGGAATCTATGTAGTGGGGTATAGAGAAGACAATAAAATGTGTGATGAGTACTTCATAAACCATAAGAGCAGAGTTACATCATGTTGCACATAAATGTGTCAGTGTAGTCCAGTATCCTCAAGGGTAATGAGAAGGGGTACAGCCCCATAAATCATACTCATGGGACAACCCAACCTCCACAATCGGCCAGAGGCAGGCGTATCATAAGCTGATGAATCTCACTCCCCTGAGAGGCACGAAGTTCGTGGTGCCAGCCTGAGGAGAAACCTATATGTGTAAAAGCACACACAGGTGAGGAGAATGTCTGTGAGGAGAACATACAGAGGTCCACCCAGCTTTCTGAAAGTCCAAAACAAGTGTCATCGTATACACAACTCATAAAGCAAAAGACTAAGGAACCATGTTGGCATAGCTGTGGTCAATGGGCATGGAAATGTATTTTGATGACGTGAAACTCCAAAACATTACACTGTAATCCTCTATTTAAAAAGAACAGAACATACACCAATCAAAGAGAGATACAGAAAGACAAACAGAGAAACAGAAAGAGCGGGTAGATATAAAGCTCACTCAACAACAGTGAGAACTTTGGCTTTATTGGCAATTATGTCCTTCCATATATACTTTCAAATTTTCTCTCATAAGAAGGGTGTGTGTGTGTGTGTGTGTGTGTGTGTGTGTGTGTGTGTGTGTGTGTGTGTGTGTGTGTGTGT